ACAGTAATATACTAAAATAATTTCACTTTTGGTTCAAATCAAAGATGGGAAATCAGATACCCACAAAAAAGTATTCCCCTCCCTACTTTTTTCTATACTCATCTGATTCTTTCCCTACAAAAATGGCTATTAAATTTGCCACTTTGGTCAGACAGCCATGTGATTTCTTCATCTTTCTACAACTAAGGGCCCTCAAGCTAACAATAGCAGAGGAATGTGGCACATGCTTCTTCCACAGCTCTTATCCATCCAACATTGATATTTTAGATCCATTAGATACTCATCTTGACTTTTGTTCTTCAGTTTTTGGTTCAGATTTCAATAGTGATTGTAAAGAGTAATGAATAAAATTGTTGATGTATAATATTCAATCATATATCCTTGTGTGATATCCCACATTGGTTGAGGAGGAGAACGAAACACCCTCTATAAGGGTGTGGATATCTTTCCCTAGTATACGCGTTTTAAAGTCTTGAGAGGAAGCTCGAAAGGAAAAGCTCAAAGAGGACAATATCTGCTAATGGTGGGCTTGGACCGTTACAATGATATTAGAGCCAGACACCGGGTGATGTGTCAGTGAAGAGGGTGTTCCCCGAAGGGGGGTAGAGACGAGACGGTGTGCCAATAAGGACATTAGACCCTGAAGGGAGGCGAATTTGATGGGGGGTCCCACATCGATTGGAGAAAGGAACGAGTGTCAGCGAGGACGCTAGACCCTGAAGGGGGGTGGATTGTGATAACCACATTGGTTGAGGAGGAGAACGAAACACCCTTTATAAGGGTGTGGATACCTTTCCCTAACATACGCATTTTAAAGCCTTCAGGGGAAACCTAAAAGGGAAAGCCCAAAACGGACAACATCTGCTAATGGTGGGCTTGGACCGTTACAAGGTATCAGAGCCAGACACCGGGCGATGTACCAGCGAGGAGGTTGTTCCCCAAATAGGGGTAGAGACGAGACGGTGTGCCAGTAAGGACATTAGGCCCTAAAGGGAGGTGGATTTGATGGGGGTCCCACATCGATTGGAGAAAGGAACGAGTGCCAACGAGGACGCTGGACCCTGAAGGGGGGTGGATTGTGATATCCCACATTGGTTGAGGAGGAGAACGAAACACCCTTTATAAGGGTGTGGATACCTTTCCCTAACAGACGCATTTTAAAGCCTTCAGGGGAAGTCCAAAAAGGACAACATCTGCTAACGGTGGGCTTGGACTGTTACACCTTGTCTATAAGAAGCTAGAAGTAGATAAAAGTTTTAAACTCTTCTCATTATGCATATCAGATAGACATATTTCATTACAAACCATGGATTCTAAACTTCTCCATGTTCTTAAAGATGTTTCATAAAACCATGTTATGGTTCACTTGACAATTAGCTTTGGAAAGCTAGAAGATAATAATATTGTATATAATGTGGTTCGAGAAAGACTTAGCTATCAAGACGATAACTTCTGCCACTGAAAGCAGGCTGATTAGAACCTTGCTGTGGTGGTGGTGGTGGTGGAGAGGGAGAAGAGCGTCTTCGTGTTTGTGTTCGTTCCCGGGTGTTCGTTTGAGAAGAATTAAGACGGTAACTTCTTCCTCGAAAAGCAGTGCCAGCAGAAGGGTCACGTTGTACTGGAGAGTTGAATTGTGTCCCTTCACCCCAGTATGCTACTAGCTTGTGACTGGAAGGCCATTAAGGTTTCACAGAAGAATTAATGCAGTTCGCTGCTTCCCATTCCCATGCTTAGAAATTTATTAGCTTCATTTCAATACTTGAAGATTAAATTTCCTTATTTGCATATACTGTACTAACAACACAAAAAAACAAGGACATGTGTAACAACCCAAGCCCACCGCTAGTAGATATTGACCGTTTTGGCCCGTTACGTATCGCCGTTAGCCTCACTATCTTAAAACGTGTGTGTTAGGGAGAGGTTTCCACACCCTTATAAGGAATGTTTCGTTCCCCTCTCCAACCAATGTGGGATCTCACAATCCACTTCCCTTGGGGGCCCAGTATCCTCCAACCCAAGCCCAAGCCCACCGCTAGTAGATATTGTCCGCTTTGACCTGTTACGTATCGCTGTCAGCCTCACTATTTTAAAACGCGTCTGTTAGGGAGAGATTTTCACACCCTTATAAGGAATATTTTGTTCCCTTCTCCAACCGATGTGAGATCTCATAATCCACCCCCTTGAGGCCTAGCGTCCTCGTTGGCACACAAGCCCGAAAGTGAAAGCCCAAAGAGGACAATATCTGCTACCGGTAGGCTTGGGTCGTTACAAATGGTATCAGAGGCAGACATCGAGCGATGTGCCAGCGAGGATGCTAAGCCCTAAAGGAGGGTGGACAAGAGGCAGTATGCCAACAAGGACGCTGGGCCCTGAAGGGGGGTGGATTGGGGTTCCTCACATCGATTGGAGAAGGGAACAAGTGTCAGTGAGGACGTTGGGCCCTAAAGGTGGGTGGATTGTGAGACCTCACGTTGTTCGAGGAGAACAAAACATTCTTTATAAGAGTGTGAAAACCTCTTTATAGCAGACGCGTTTTAAAAACATTGAGGGGAAGCCCAAAAAGGACAACATCTGCTAGCGGTGGGGTTGGGCCGTTACAATATATATGTGTGTGTGTGTATATGCATGCATATGAATGTACATATTAATGTATGTAGGATACATCAAGAAAGGGGTTTTGAGGTTGAATTTCCCACCAGCAAGAGGATGTAGAACAGTCAAAAAATAATAAAGATGCCCTGCCACCATTCCCAAAATGTCTGGCATCAAGAGATCACCAAAGATTAGATTTAAAGCCAGCATTGCCCAAGGAAGATAGAATCCCTGTAGAATATCAATATTACCAATGAGAAAAAGAAAAAATCCCAGATTCGGAATCATCAATTAGCTGCATAAGTTGGCGAACTTAGAGCCTGATTGGAATGACTTTTCAAGTACTTCAAAACACGGAGAAACATTCTAATATAGGAAACGAGACAATCAAATCCCAATTAAAGAGATTTTCAGACGAACTTCATGCATTCAAATGTGTTACTAACCTTCAACGAAACGACACCGTAGATGTTGATACGAGCATTTGGGAACTCACGACTCCAGATGTAGACAATCATGAAAACCAAAGAACTTCCCATGAATGGAGTCCAACAATATGGAATGGCTGCCATCACCTGAGGGTTAAAAAAATGCATAACCAATTAGTGATAGCAGATATCATCATTTGAAGGCTTATGGAAGTACCAAATATTAGGATTTTTGAGCTTAGTACTCAAAATGTTCAAGAACTGTCAAAATCATAGCTAATTTTCTCATTGTTCTTGTTAATGAAATTTAAGAACACCAATATTCTATGATGCGGACAACAATTTGCAAAAAATCCAAATCAAACTCACCAGAAGTGAAAGAGCTCCAAAAATCAACATCCACACATAGTCTGCAGTCCTTTTATCAAAGGGACCTCTCTCCAATGATACACCATATTTTGCTCTGTGAAGTTCAAATTGCATAGTTATTATACAAATATCATACAAATTCTATTGTTTTTAGTTTTAGAACATGTTCGAGAGTGATTTTGAAAAGGTTAAAATCACAAAATCACTCTCAAACATGTTTTTAATCATTCAAAATCATTCCCAAACGTACTCTTAATCCTACTTCTAAGCTTATAGCTCAAAAAATAAAGATGAACACTTGAAAGTGGTATGGTTTTTACATGATTATCAGACGAAAAGCAAACCGAAACGAAAACGGGCCGAGGAAGAAGAAGTTAGTAATGAGCCTCCAAATCTGTTCAAGAACGAAGCAGTTATAGCAAAAACATATTGAAGAAAACAAAATCTGGAAACTATGAATCCACAAAATTGTATTACCTGAAACTTTTTAATTACAAGACTGTAGATCAGAGCTATGTTCTTAGGGTCATAAAGCTGGAGATAGTAAGCAGCAGTGGTCATCAAACAGCTCACCCCATACACCTTGCTCACAGGTGGGAGTGAGTGATAATATCTAAAACAAGTTCAACAAGACAATAATGATACTCATTACACAACAGATTGCTATACATCAAATTAACCAAGAACACAAATGGGAGTTCATCAAATCCTCATGATTCTGAAAAAAAATCAAAATTCAAGAAAAGATCAAGAGGGATTTGAGAGATTACTCTAAAGGGGTAGACATTCGCAAGAACTGTGGAACTTCGGAGCAGGACGGGAAGGTTGAAGCTACCGATGAACATGGATTTGTGCTTATAGAGCATTAAAGAAGTTGAAGGGAAGACTTCGGAAGTCGTCTCAGAGGGAACCGTGGGGCAAACCATTTGGACTTTGAAAACTTCTGAATCATTACGCTTGGAAGTTAACCAACGCCTTTGAAGGATGAAGGGTTTGGAAAAATTCATCCATTATATGATGGGTCTGAATAATCAACGCAATGATATTGACTTACTCACTTCCTTTTTCTTCCACTTCTATATATATAATTAATTTGTTCTTGAATGGGTAATGGTCTATTCAATATCATTAATTGCTACAAGTGGTCTTGGGGACATTGACTTGGATTAGATTAATTCATTTTAAATAGAAAATCCAACCGGAGAACATTAATTATATTTGTATGAAAAAACCCATATCACGGATTGACGGTATTTTTATCCGTATCACTGTCAGCCTCAAAGTTTTAAAAAGCGTCTACGGGAGAGAAGTTACCAACTGTCATAAGGAATGTGTTCGTTCCCCTTTTCAACTAAGGTGGGACCTCACAATCTACCCCCTTGGGAGCCTAGCGTCCTTGTTTGCACGCTGCTCAATATCTAGCTATGATACCATTTGTAACAGCCCAAGTCCATCGGTAATAAATATTGTTTGCTTTAGCCAGTTACGTGTTAGTCTCACGGTTTTAGAACATGTTTACTAGAGAGAGACTTCTACACTCTTATAAAGAATGCATTCGTTTTCCTCTTCAATCGATGCGAGATCTCACGAATATAAGTTGAGCAGTAAAAATTGAAATAAATGCTTCAGTGCTCATCTTCCTATCAATTTTCCACATGAACGGTCAGCGATCTTTACAGCAAAGTAATGTCTCAATATCAACTTCAACTCTAATGCTTATGACTTATGACCCAACACAATACTTACAGTGCTTATGTTTCATTCATAAGACTCATCATCATAGGCACCTCAATGTTGAAAGAAAAGAGAATTGCAGCATCAGGGAAGTACCGTGAAAACCTCGGCGTGATGCATTTCTGGGCTTCGGACCGAGTATTGGAATGTCCATCCATGGCAAGCACCAGCATGAGTACCATTTTTGTTAACAGCAAAAATAGCTCCAATGAAGTCAGGGAACTTCCTTGCAATCCTTGATATTGCATCTTTCGCAGCGTCCTTCGGTTCCATCCCCAGTCGCATACTCTCGACGACTTGATAGCTGTAATCAAGCAGAAGTATTTTCGAGATTCAACCAAAACGGGACGATGCGACAGATAGAAAGTGAAGAATTATTGAACAAGCAAATAGACACGGATCAATCTGTTCGTTGCATGGAACATATCAAAGCTTATGCGTTGAGTTTCAGAGAGTAGAGTTGCATAATAATGGCTAGAAATGGTTTGTTTACCACGGGAGGAAACGCATCATGATGTCGCCATCCCCGGTTGCTCCACATGCACCGATATCACTATCTGCATATGCTGAAGATCCTGCTATAGGTCCATCACCCACCCTGCATCAAAGAAAGTTGATTCAGAGAGGCGTGATCCAAAAAGCTTCAGCGACGTCTGGTTACTTATGCAATACCCAACCACCAAATGAAGGGAATAACAAAAGAAAATGACTGAGATTTCAGTAGATGGTAGATGTGAGATCTCATATCGGTTGGAGAGGAACGAAACACCCTTTGTAAGGACGTGGAAACCTTTCCCTAACAGACGCGTTTTAAAAACCTTGAGGGGAAGCCCAAAAGGGAAAGCCCAAAGAAGACAATATCTGCTAGCTATGCGCTTGGGCTGTTACAAATGGTATCAGAGCTAGACACCGGGCGATGTTCCAGAGCCCCAAAGGGGGTGAACACGAGGCGGTGTGCCAGCAAGGATGTTGAGCCCCGAAGGGGATTGGGGGTCCCACATCGATTGAAGAAGGGAATGACTGCCAGCGAGGACACTGGACCCCGAAGGAGGGGGGTGGATTGTGAGATCCCACATCGGTTGGGGAGGAGAACGAAACACCCTTTATAAGGGTGTAGAAACCTCTCCCTATCCAACGCATTTTAAAAACTTTGAAGAAAAGCTCAAAGAGGACAATATCTGCTAGCGGTAATAGAGCGGAATAAAGAGTAGGCATCTAACAGAACTTACCTGCCTGGGATCTTGAAGGTGGCTCCATTAGTGGATGTTCCAACAGCAATGTGCCCAAACTATTTCAAGAAACAAATCTTTAATATGAATACAATGACAAGAGAGAATTAACTTCACTTATCAACTTACCTTATCGATTACTGCCATCGATATGGTATCGTGACTGTGAAGACCAAAATGATTCGACCTTAATCCAACAGTTCTCATTGGATCATCTCCTGAACATGTTGTCTCAGCAACAAGCATAAGGTCATTAGAGTGGTAAGGGCCACAGCTATTGACAGGCACAACATTTTTCCAAAAATTAGGTTGGCAATTGTTCTCTTTCCATTTGTTCCACTTTTCGATCGACTCCGATGAGCTAAGATCTTCGGGTCCGGGAAGGCCCATTGAAATGGAGAAAGCAGAGGCCTTCTCTCCAACAAGTAAAGTGTGTTGGGTATGTCTCATCACTAATCTTGCAGCTTTTATACCATCTTTGATATACCTCATGGCGGCTACAGCTCCAACTTCCATAGTCACCTATGCATATCCTTAGTGAATATAAAGTAAATACAAAGATGAGCAACAGGAAGTGAATATCCAGAGAAGGCTTACCCCATCCATAACCATGGCATCAATGGTTGTTTCTCCATTTTCATCCGGACTTCCACCTGGTCCAACTATTCATAAAAAATTACATTAAACTAGGCACTTCATATGCACACACCTCTCCATTAAACTAGTATGATATTGTCCACTTTGAGTATTAGCTCTCGTGGCTTTGTTTTTTGTTTCCCCAAAAGGTCTCATACCGATGGAGATGTATTCCTTGTTTATAAACTCATGATCAACCCCTCAATTAGCCGACGTGGGACTCCTCTTCCAACAATTCTCAACAATCCTCCCCTCGAACAAAGTACACCATAGAGCCTCCCCTGAAGCCTATGGAGCCCTTGAATAGCCTCTCCTTAATCGAGGCTCGACTCTTTCTTTGGAGCCCTCGAAAGTACATCCTTTGTTCGACACTTGAGTCACTTTTGACTACACTTTCAAGGGTCCCAACTTTTTTGTTCGACATTTGAAGATTCTATTGACATGGTTAAGTTAGGCATGACTTTGATACCATGTTAGGAATCACGAACCTCCATAATAGTATGATATTGTCCACTTTGAGTATTAGCTCTCATGGCACTACTTTTGGTTTCCCCAAAAGGCCTCATACCAATAGAGATGTATTTCTTACTTATAAACTCATGAACAACCCGTTAATTAGCTGACATAAAACTCCTCTCCCAACAATCCTCAACAGGTGATGTTTATCATCAACGTCAGAAAGCAACCTCAACTTCAAAAACCAGATAGCATCACTGTTCAGAATTTTTGGCAAATCCATATTGTTCATATAAAGAAAGCACCCAGTGAACTGCTCAACAATTTTTTTTTCACAGAAGATAGAACAAGACACAATAGCTAAGCCATAGAAATGAATGAGCCAATAAACTCCACATTGAGAACAAATATTTAGACCCACATCAAATTAAAGTGCCCACCTGTGCCATCACATCTCAGTTCTTCACAGGCAGAACATCCTTCTACAACAGCATCAACTGCTGAGGAGCCATTATTAACAGCACTCCACGCCCTTTCAACAGCCTCGAAAAAGGGCCATGTGCTTACAACCAAAGGGTACGAGCCTGACTCTCCAGCTACACGTCCAGTAACCTAACAACTCAAAAATCGATATAAACTTCACCAAGATAATGGAAATGTAACATTTCAGTGAAGAAAATAAGCAAGCGAAACCCCGTAACCAAGAATTTATAGAAGAGGGGAAGAACTTAAACGAACATCGGAGATGGGAAAGCTCCCCGATCAATGGTATAGATGACTGATCTGCATTCAACCAAAAACCCATAACAGCTAGAACGGAAAATTGAAGAATCGGGCTACAAAATTTCGGTCAGTGAAGAAATGGGTGCTTCTCAAATTCTCTTTTAGATTTTAAGCTGCTTCGAGCACTAAACTAAGGAAATTGAAAATGGCATTGAACAGAGAAAGGCGGTGTTGGGTCGTGATATCAAGTACCTGGAAGAGCAAGACGAGAAGCAAGGCGGAAGCTCGAAACCGATTATTGGAGGCAAGGAGTTCCATGTAGAGAAGCCGCTCCGTAGTGGTGGGAATCTACTGGAGAAACAAAAATTACATAAATTGGCTCCAACAAGATTAAGTTTTTGTTATCAGAGCGGTAAGCCCGTCAGCTTACAGGTTTAAATCTCTAATATTGAATTCAATAAAAAAAAAATTATATTATTTCTTATTAAATGAATGCTTAATAATTAATTCGTAATAAGTAAAAACTTCGGTTGACTAATCTTTAACATCAGTAGGAAAAAATATTTTGGGGGATTTTTATAATGACAACTCATATCACACGCATTATCCTCTTTAAATCATTCAAGCTATCACTAATCATTTTTCCCTTCTTAATTTAATTAATGAAATTATAATCAAATTTTATAAATATTTAAAGGCGTGATCTTCAATGAGATTATGATTTCGGGTTTTTTCCTTAAAAAAAATTAATTTTTCTTGATTGATTAATAGCACAAAATAAAACTTAGAAAATCAAAATTCTCTTGACATTCTAATAACATTGATTTATAAGTCATTTTTTTAAAAAAAATTCAAAACTACTTTGAATAATATTATTTCATAATATTTTTTTGTCCTCTAATTTTGAAAAAAGGGATTTTTTATTAGAACTTTTTTTTTTCTCTCTCTCTAAAGCCAATAACTCAAGAGGGCGAGGTTGTGGATTTTGCCACTAACCGTCAAAACCGCTACTCAGTAAAGTGGGAAGAAACAAAATCCAGTGTTCGCTAGCGCACATAACTCATCAACTCTTTTACTTCCAATGTAACTAAGAAATGAGCCACAATAATCTCTCATCCATTGATCAAAATCCAATGGCTAACCTTCTCACACTTTCATGGAGCCGACCATAGAGAAGCATAAGCAAAAATAAAAAAAGTTCAAAACATTCTCACATCCCTATTTGACGCTGCCCTTCGCTTTGAAGAAGACAGTGAAAACAGAGTTGCAGAGAAGAGAGGGATTGTTCAAAAATGGAAAGGCAAAATGGAGTGAACATGAAGAAAGGGCCATGGACTGCTGAAGAAGATGAGATTCTGGTCAACTATGTCAATAAGTTTGGTCCAAGAGACTGGAGCTCCCTTCGATCCAAAGGACTTCTTCCCAGAACTGGGAAATCTTGCCGTCTCCGTTGGGTTAATAGACTTCAACCCAACTTGAAGACGTAAGTTATGGAATTTGAATTTGAGTTTCTTCAGTTTTCTGTTTCTGGACAGATTCTAATGAGTTTGATATCTTGTTGGCAATGGCTTTTGGTATCTCTATCTCTAAGAAGTTGTGATGTTTCCTACAACCAACATGTAAAGAATATGCATATTTGTGCAGAGGATGTAAGTTTTCAGCAGAGGAAGAGAGGGTGGTGATCGAATTACAGGCGCAATTCGGGAACAAATGGGCGAAAATCGCGACGTATTTGGAGGGAAGAACAGATAATGATGTGAAGAATTTCTGGAGTACAAGGAGGAAGAGATTAGAAAGGATTTTGCAGATCCCACCACAGAAATCTCAGAAAAACAAACAGAGGAGTTTGGAACCTCAAGGACTCTATGAATTGCCTGCTTTAGAGGTAACAGTTTCCCATTCAAGTTAGATGGAACATAATGGATTTCTCAAGTTAATAGTTACCAATCTACAACTTTTTGATCTTGTAGATGTCTAACCTTGGCCAGTAATGAAGATTGGACTGTTGTTTTTGGTAACTTTTGGTAGTATGGCTGATGTAATTGCAGGTTCCTAGCTCCAGCTCCTCTCAGCTGGATGAACAATCATCAACCTGGAAGGATCATTTGGAGAATGCTTTCCAATTAGGAAACTCAGAGATGCATAAAATACCATCGCTATCAGTACAGTCAAATATGCTTACTATGGAAAATGAAAATCAAGTATTTGGAACCCCATCCACACACATGCTAGCAGCACCCTTTGACCCTTTTTCTCATTGTTGCATCTCCCAATTCACACATTCCTCGCAAGAGATTGGAATGTTTCCAGACTGCCATGGACTGGCTCCGAACCACGCTCCTTTCAATTTGCAAGACGTGTTTGAGCCAGGCGAGCCTTCGGAAACAAACAGTTCCCTGAACTTCATGAGCAGTTCAATGCCTAAAGAACAAGAGATGAAGGGAGAAAGTAATTTAGAAGTTAAGAATGAAAACTCTTACCAAGCAACTGCAGATGACTGCTTTGATGATTTCACAGCTGATTTATTTGATTTCTTTGATCAGCCTCCTCCTTCATTGAACTAGAAATTTAATCATGATACACCATTGTACCTGAAACATTGATAACTAAACTCCACTAGCTCATGAGGCAATACATCCATGTCTAAGTTTATTAGCTTACCATTCGCTTTGGTGGGTCTTGTCCCTTTGTGTTACTTATTTCCTGCATACTATTATTGGAGTAACTGGACTAAGGGTTCTAAATCAGCACAAGCACAAGCATGGGAAGTTCAACAACTTATTCATATAAAACAAAGCCAACCTAAGAAAGACTTCGAAACAATAGTCACAGGAATCGGCATCAGTATGATTCATTGATGATAATTGATGCTCAACCACACTCAAAATCACTTTATCATCTCACATCATAATGGATATACTTTGACTTGGACGATAGTCCAAACTCAGCTATAGAATATCTGGACTGGAAAAGAAGGAAAACACTCCTATTTTTGCTATCTTCTAAACGTTGATGCTAATATGTCTATCATCCTTATCAACGTTCTTCATCAAACTAAAAATAGAGTAATGTTATAATGAGGTGTATATATTGTTTTTGAGATAAGAATGCATATGGTTAGATAAGACCAGGATCTACTTATAGTTTCTTCGGCATCCCAAAGAAATATTATGCTGTGCAGTAAGAAATTCCTATACAAGTTTGAGTGTTCAACGTAGTCAAGTGCCTCTCCCATTGGTCACAATCAGAGAAACCCGATCTTATGCGAAGAAGAAAGAAGTAATGTCAATTCTTCACTTGTAAGTAGAATTGTTATTCACACGCTCAATATAATAGCAGTTTTAGTTGTATGTACAACGGAAATATCTACTTCAGATCAGTAGATTGAAACCCATGCAAATCCGGGTAGGTTATTACAATAAACCTTGAAAACATTGACCAAAGCATCCTAAATGTGCTCTATTCTGTGCATCGCACTGTAGTTTCTTTCACTGTTCTAACTGCTTGCGTCCGAATAAATGTCAAGTTTAACTTACCTACCTGGTCAAACAAACTAAGAAAACTACTCTCAGATGTAAATCTGCGTCAAAGAGATAGACTTGTATCAGAATCCATCCAAGAATAATTGGCGCCTGAGGAAATAAGTGCTGCTGATTTATCTCCAAATTGTTTCATTAGCATCAGTAAAAACTTCATTGTGATGATCTATGAGGCACTGAATGACCTCGATGGCACTGAAGTCAACTGACACGGCATCATCCAAAGGAATGTGAGAGGAAGCATCTGTGTCATCACTCTCTTCTGCAGCACAAAAACAAAATAGTGAGAATTGTCCTAAGGGACCATCATTCTATTCCGGCAAGAAAATTTGTTTGCTAATTATACTCGAAACAAATTAAACTAACTAAAACTATTTTCCTTGTTAACAACATGTGTTGAGTTCTCAAAATTTTGCAACAGAAGATTAAGGGCTATGTGGTTCAAAATATCCCTACTCACTTCTTAAACTGATGCAGCCAACAGATTCGCTTGCTAGAGTTGCTCAAAGAGACCTTTATTCTATATATGAAACATGCTGGTTACAAAGAAAGGGACAAATTCTTTGTAAGAGCTTCTAATTAACCACAAAGTACTAAAACGGTGCACTGACTAACTAAAGGCCCATGTACAATAAACTATTCAAAAGTCCTAAAATGCAGAGCAGAGTCGAGATTGGAATTTGCCCAACCTCACTATGTTATACCTTCCACATTCCCTCAGTTGTATCAAACAACAATCATAATAAATTGTTATTTACTAGGTAGAATTATTTGCATACAAAGGTGATAGGTCCTTTGAAACACTTCAAATTATCTATTCAAGAGTAAATGAAAAATATATCATTCTTCTTCAAATCCTTGCGAATGGAATGTTCATTCCAAACGAGGAAAAGATTGAGGATCCTTTTCCAATGATGAGAACTAAATTGAAGTGCATAGCAAGCAAGCAATCAAACAGCAAGGATGGACCAGTTACCTGAAAGCACGTCCCATGCACTGTAAGTAGGCGGTGTATTATTTAAGGACTTTGCAGAAGAACTTTTAGAATGATAATCCCAAAATTCCCGATAGAACTCTGGGCGCTTGTCGTTTTGCCACATTATTATAGGAGTCATCTCCATAGCAAGGCTACGAGCATCCATCTATTGAACGAACACAAAAATTAGCAACACAACTAAGAACATATTTAAGGACATAAAAAGATTAACCACATCAAAAGTTAGGCAAAGGAAGGTGTCAAATATTCAGGGCAGAAAAATTGGCAATTACACGTCAGAAAGAAGTTAGAAATAGCTAAAAGCTTATATATCATCTAAAAGGAAGTATATTGCGGATTACAATTTAAATGTCATGGGCAACACATGCTCCATTAACTTATTCATAAATCCTTGAAGAGACATGCATAAATAGTCCCACAGAGAATAATAGCCAAAATTCCTAAAACATCAAAGACGTGTATGACATTATATAATCCTTATCACAAGAAAGGTTATGGAAAAAAGGCACTAGAAAAGAAATCTTGGCTAGCGCCAAAAATTTTGTAATCCTGAAGGTTGCTTCTTACAATTTGAAATAGAGGCTCCTGACATCATCAGCTTCCATAATTATAGAGGTTGCAATGTTGCAAATCACAAGCAATTCTTGGGAAATATATGAAATTTGCAGCCTTGCATGAAAATTTTTCTATCTAAAATCTACGTAGTGCTTAGATACTGAGTAGCATATCAAACAGTAGTAAAATTAGTTCTAGACAACCTCTGAGAAATGTACTTCGGAGTAAGCAGCATTATTTCACCAAGTGACTTTTTCTAGATACTAAGTTCATAATAAAGCAGAGATCATCATATCCACTTCGTTAAAAAAACTGAGAAATTTGTCCTTGCAGGCCGACTTAAACTTGTAAATAAACTAATACAATCAAGAATGCACTCATAGGTATGCATCCCATGAGAGAGAGCCCATGCCTTGACGAGAACCAGTAAACATAATATGTTCTTACATGTCAACTCAAACTCATAAAAAAGTCCTATATAAACAAGAGTGCACACAGGAAAGCACGAACATGTGTATGTGTATGCGTGTGAGAGAGAGATACACTACTCAAAACTCATAAAGCACAAACAGGCATGCATGCACAGAGAGCGAGAGAGAGAGAGAGTCCCTGCCTTATTGAGCAGTGCTTTTTGGCTAATGCGGAGAAATAGTGCAGTAGTAAACTCCAAGGTCATGTAGTTCACGTTGGGAAGTTTTTTTAGAATGTTTCGCAGGGCATTTAAGTTTGTATGTGCACCTCTGATCTCATTGTAAAGCTCAAACGTGACTAGTGGCTCAGGAAGACTGGCCAGGTAACATTTAGCTAGAGCTGCTACATCAACTGGATTTGTACCCTCAGGTATGGGGGCATTGGGATCTGACAAATGTATATATTCAACACACATTTTGAAGTTAAATCACTAAAGACCAAATTTAATCATACAACTATTTCCGTTACCTTGATTATACATTGATACCAACCGCTGAAGAACCCTTTCATCTCCGTCAGATTTGAATAAGCATGGTGAGTTTAGCCCTAGAAGTGAAAACAAAGGGTAAGCCAATGCAGACGTTGAATGGAATTTTAGTTGCATGCAAAAAATTACATGTAGGGATGTAATTTTGAAATTCAGTACCTGACAAGACGAGATAATCGGCACACCTAACCAAAATATGTGGAATGACCCTGCTTGACTGTTGTTTTTGTACGGTTACCTCAATTTGAACTCCAAATACTACAGTCACATAATAAGAAAAAAATAAACATAATAATACAGACCTGAGCAAGAAGATTTTGCAGAGAGATCAGACATGTAAATACTCAATAACATTAAATAAACTAAATGGACAAACTTCAGAAACTTACGATCAGTACTGGCAACCCCCTGAAAAATGGTAAACAAACAGGAGTTAAACGTCGGGTATAATATATAAAGTGAGGGGAACTGTATAGGAGGACTATTACCTTCTGCCATCGCTCAATATCTGTCAAAATTGTCTTGCTCTTTTGAGCAGTTTTTTTTGCAACCTAAAACACATACACTCGTTGGATATGCAAGGAAATTACACGCTAAGTAATATTCAAAAAGGAATATAAATTTTTCGCCAATATTACCTCTTCAACTTTAACTTTCCCCACGACAACCTTGTCCTTTGTCTCCGTCACACCTTTTCTGAGGAATGTGCCAGTAGTAGCAGCAGCACATATTAGACGTTCTTGCACAGCATGTCTTGTAGCTGGCTGCTGAAGGAGGGCCCATCGACTCTTAAACAAAGAACCAACCCGTTCAGCAACATCAGCAGCATTTCCTTTTGCATCCTTCGCAACTCCCCCAACAAAAGTTCCAGCTGATTGTCCAGCTTCTTTCAGCTTTACTCCTACAATGTACCATTATTAGATATAACATGTGTCACTTATAACTGCAAGAGAGCAAACAACAAAACTTCTCTTTTATGTACTGAAATAAGTACCTGATGAAGAAAAAAAACCACTAGCCTTCTCCTGCCACTGAGAAGAATTAACAGAAGGCATTGAACCAACAATAAAACCGGAATCGTCTTAAAGATGTGTATGATTGAGCCTGTTACAGAACAATGCTCATCAAAGTCCAAAAAAGAAAGATCAGCTCGCAAGTAATAGTATCAAATGATGTATTAAGTCAAATATAAGCCAGTATAAGTTCACCTAGACTTTCAATCGATCCATACTATTACTTACAACTATTTAACTCAGTTCAATAGAAACTCCGATTGAGTGGAAAACACAAGCTAGTCATATCAATTTCTGGTAAAAATCAGAGAGAAACCTAATTTAGTCATCCACCAACGTTTCATTTATGTGCTCATCTCAGTAGCAAACAAGCCAGTCATATCAATTTCAGTAGAAACCACAATTCAACCATAACCATAAGAATTGACTACACCACAGGATCATTCAGATATCATCACAAATTGAACATTTAGTCTAATTCTTCTAAATTTCCTAACAGCAC